TCGGGAGGGGGGCTCCCGCCTAAGACTTCCTCGCAACTCACTCACAGACGAAGCTCTCGCCGGATACTTTCTCCATTTTCAAGCCTCAGGAATCAAACAATGACGACGGTTACAGGTTTTCGACGACCGCTCGGATTAATAATATGAGCTGCGGGCCCAATAGAATAGGGAGGGGGCTCCCGCCTGAGACTTCCTCGCAATTCACTCATAGACGAGGCTCCCGCTCGAGACGCCCTCAAGATGAATGTGTGCGCGTGTGAGAGATGACGATGGTGGTGGGGATGATGGTGACGACAGTGATGGTGATCATGGCTCCTGCATTATAGGCAATGATGATAACGATGTTCATGGGTAATGGTGAGAATGATGTAAATGGTGAGTGAATGAGAGTGACCGAGCGAATGTGATGACGAGTGAGTGAGTGATGAATGTGAGTGAGTGAGTGAGAAAGTGAGTGAGTGAGTGAGTGAGTGAGTGAGTGAGTGAGTGAGTGAGTGAGTGAGTGAGTGTGTAAGTGATGATGGTGATGATGATGATGCTGATGATAATGATGTGGTGATGGTGATGATGACGAGGACGATGACGATGACGATGACGATAACGATGATGTAGATGTTGATGCTGATGATGCTGATGATGCTGTTGCTGTTGCTGTTGCTGTTGCTGTTGCTGTTGCTGCTGCTGATGATGCTGATGCTGATGCTGATGCTGATGCTGATGCTGATGATGATGATGATGATGATGAGGATGAGGATGAGGATGAGGATGAGGATGATGATGATGATGATGATGATGATGATGATGATGATGATGATGATGATGATGATGATGATGATGATGATGATGATGATGATGATGTGGGTGTAAGAATGAGTGAGTGCCAAGGAGAGGAGGTGACGGGTTCCTGCGCGGGGATTTGCAGAGAAAACAAGAACCTCACTTTGGATATGGGGAGAAAACAACACAAAATGCGCGCGGCAATGAACGGGGGGAAGGCACTGGGCACCAAGGCGTGCGCTTCGAGAAGATCGGGGCTGGCCAGTCTGCCCTGGACCCTGCCCTGCCCCTGGGGGGGGTCTCGGGCATCGCCGCGTTGAAATGGGTGCCCCAGCCGCGCCGCAGGCTGGCGCTGGGACGAGCTTGCGTCCGCACCTCGCTCGGCAAGGCGGCTGCCCTACTGGTCCTCGCGCTGCGCGGCCTGGCTGCCACTTTCGGGAGCCTCCTTCAGGAGCCTCCTTGGGAGCCTCCCTCGGTAGCCTCCCTCGGGAGCTTCCCTCTGCAGCCTCCCGCAGGAGCCTCCCGCAGGAGCCTCCCGCAGGCAAGAGCCTCCATGCTGCCCCAGGTGCCGTCCGACGGTCGGACGTCGTCACCCGAACCCCCCACCTAACCTGGCCGGCAGTTCTCAGCGCGGCTGCACGGACGGACCCTTCTGCACGGTGCAGGACGCCTGGCGCCTGCGTCTCCGCCCCCGTAGAACGCTCGGTGCCCCTCTGGGCAAGGCGTGCGAGGCCCGTGGCCTCGGCAGGCGAAGCTGGCTCGAAGGCGAGGAGGCGGAGGAGAACGGCGCGCCGCTCGGGGAGGACCGCTTCCCTTTTCTGTCCCTCCCGCCGCGCCCGCGCCGAGGGCCCCGTTGGCAGGGAGCCCGCGAAGCCGCGCGCCGCTGTCTCGTCCGGTGCCTTCTCGGCGACTGGAGGGAGGAGAGGGGGGGGAACAGGGGCCAGGGGAGGGGGGAACAGGACCCAGACCTCCAACGTATATTTAAGAAACCACACACGCACACACGTTGATTGGCTGTTTTCGGCGATTGGAGGCCCTCGCCGAATCCCACAAGACCGTCATAAAACGATCGGGACGAGAAACCGTGCTCCGGGAAGTGGTCCAGATCTCCAGAGACCCCGTATTGAACAAATCAAGACATCGCTGGCCCTGGTCCCGGCTCCAACACTGGCCCCCAGCCCCGGCCCTGGCTCCGGCCCCGACAGAGAGCGCAAGAGGCTCCCAAGAGAGCCCCATCAGCAGTACTGGCCGTAAGGCCTTCCCAATTAAGACATCGGAGGTCTGGGGAGACAGGATGCGGGAGGAGGGAGCGGAGGGAGAGGGGCCGGGGAGGAAGAGGAGGGGGAGGAAGAAGCGAGGAAGATGAGGAGGAGGGGGGAGGAAGAAGCGCGGAAGGGAGGAGGGGGGAGGAAGGCCCGGAGGGGGGAGCATGGGGGAGGAGGAAGGAGCGAGGAGCAGGGCAAGTCCGCCGACCCCCGCTTGCCTGGGGTGGAAATGCGTGCTAGATCACGGTTAGCTGTCCACCTCTCCCTTTCCCCCTCCCCTGGAGCCCAAAATCCAGGTTGAGGGGGGGGGGGGCAGCCAGGCCCAAGCTCGCCAACGCTTCCACTGGAGCCTCCGGAGCCTCCAAACAGTTCCAAGACGGCCCAAGAGGGCCCAAACAGACCGCCAAGGTAGTCCAAGAGAGCGTCGACACGGCCCAATATAGTGCCACGACGGTCCAAGATGGCTCCGAGACGGCCCACGAGATCCCCAAGACGGGCCAAGTCCCAGAGCACCGCCGAGAGAGCCCCAAGAGGCAAAAATCGTTCCATTCCCTTGAGAAAACATTTAGCTAAACGCGCAATGTTGGTCTTCACTGCGTCCAAGACGGTCCATAGGGCCCGCAAGATGGTCCCAAGACAACACATAAGGCCCCCTGGAGGGTTCCAAGACAGCCCAAGAGGACCCCAAGACAGCCTTAGGGGCCCTCAAGACGGCCCAGGAGAGGCCCAAGAAGGCTTTACGATGGGCCCGAAAGGGGCAAGACGAACTGAGACTCCGAGCCTTTCCACCCCCGATGGGCCCAAGAGCCCCCCAGAGGCCCCCAAGGCGCCCCCACGAGACCTCCAAGAGGGCCACAAGGAGTCCCCAGTGGCCACAAGAGCCCTCCAATAGGGGGCCGCATGCGAACCCTACCCCTACCCCCCACGATATCTGAGGGGGAGGGTGGGGTTCACTTCGCTTGGGAGCTCCCGAACGAAGTGGACCCCACCCTCCCCCTCAGAAATCGTGGGGGGTAGGGGTAGGGTTCGCATGTGGCCCCCTATCCAGGAGGCCCCGATAGGCATCCCAAGAGACCCTCAGATGCCTCTAAGAGGCTTCTGAACCACATCCCAGGCACGGTGGTGGGTTGGGCCCGAAGGCCACAAAAGAACTTCCACGAACGTCGCAAGCCACTTGAAAAAGAAAAGATGTGGACGGAAGAGGGGGAAGGGTCATGGGAAGGGAGGAGGAGAGGGAAGAGGAGAGAAGGGAGGAGAGGGAGGGGAGGAGAAAGAAGGAATGATGGTACTTGGGCGAGGGCAGGATAAGAAGCAGGGGGAATAGAGACAAGAAACTTCCAACAACTCTATCCGAAAACCTCCGAACAAATCCGACGACACCATACATGGTCCGAAAGCATCCGGGCATCTAGCAAAACGTTAGAAACGAACGACATTGGAAGTTATCTGCCTCCTCTTGCTCCTCCTCGTCCTCCCCTATACAGTATGCAAAACAATTTGCTCTGGATGTCTTTCTGCCTCTATTATGAAGGCTTCTGGATGTTTGGGAGCCTCTGGACTCCTCCTCACCCTCCTGTCTCTCATCTCCGTCATTCCTGTCGCTCACCCAACTTCTCCCCTTCCTCCGTCTGTTTCCTCCTCGCCGTTCTCCTCCTCCTCCTCCTCCTCCTCCTCAAGAGCTTGGGGCGAGAGTCGTTCCCGTGGGACGACGTGGGAGGCCCGAATAACGTCTGCACACTTTTGCCCTGACGGATGTGGGAAACGTATGAGACGCGTGTACTGTTTGCTGCCGATGCGCCGTCAAGGGGCCAGTCTCGCCTGCTTGCTTCCTTGGGCCCCCAAGAGGCACCCAAGAAGTCTCGAGGAGCCCCCCCAGAACCGGGCGCGCCGAAAGGGGAGGCCAGGAAGAGGGGCGCTTCAGAGCATCATTGCCAAAAAAGCATGCGCGCGGACGAGGGGGCCAAGAGCTGTTTACAAGAAGGGGAGGGGCCCATGACGTCTGGCAGACGTCGTGGCCACGGCTGTGATATCAACAAACACGCACACTCGCAGCCCTTACCCCCCCCTCCTCTTGGACGCCCCAGGCAGAAGCGGCACAACGCAACGCCACGCTACAATCGCGCAAGCGCTGCCTCCCCGGGACGTTGCTCCCCTCTGTTATGGTTCGCTTGGATTTGGTCAATGTTCGCTCGGCTGATGTGTGCCCATGATGGTTCAATCCCTGCCTGGGTTGCCTTATTTCTACTGGCTGTGCTCTGCTGCACTGTACTGTGACGAATGTTTGAAGTTGCCTCATGTCTGCAGTGCGCCGCGGCGCTCATCCTCGCGGCGCAGAACGCCAAATCGAAAAGCCAGAGCACCCAAGCAAAGGCCGAATGCCCCCCCCCACCTCACCCTCGGATCCTGGCAGACGGCACTCGGCAACAGAGGTGCAACAAAGTGCATATACATAACTTTCGAAGGCCCGAGCAAATGTCCAGGATCTGCGCTGGACCACCCCCGCCCTGGCGCGCGCAGCGCGACAAGGGGGCGCTGGAGGCGCCGCCAAGGGGGCCCAACGCCGATCCAGGAGATCCTCGCGGATTTCCGGAAATTAATATTTGCACCGTTTCCGTAGAGGTGCACAGCAGACGACTCTTAATGAACGCCACGTGCACATCGATGCAACGTATCGTCCAACACCCCTGTTATAGGCGTGGACGTTCATACACGGGTGAAAGGAAGATGCAGAAGAGGGCTTAGAGAGACAAAGACGCCATTGCAGATGCAGCTGCACATTCATATTGATAAGTACAGAATTATGCATGTTGCCGCAGACTGAATGAAGATCAACTGGAACGGGAGCGCAGAAGCAGCGGCAACGGGCGCTAGAGCCCAGGGGGCTGCTGCTGTCTGGAGCGTGCGCCTAACAGCCGTGGAAACACACGGCGTGCCCCTGCACATATTCGCGAGTGCCTCTCACAGAAAGTACTCAGCTGGCAACTTCCCGATGCTCGGTTCCCCTGGGAGGGGCCCGGGACTCGCGGGAAGTGATTAGCACAGAGAGGCGAGGAGGAGGGCGGCGAGGATGAGGGCGGCGAGGAGGGTCCGGAGCGCCAGAGAGCTGGAGACGAGGAGGGATCTTTCAGTTTTCAGGCCGGTGGGGGGCCGGCTCAGGACGGCCCGGTGTGACCCAGGCTCCTCTGAAGGTGCCAGAGCTGGCTCCTGAGAGGACTGGAAGCCCACATGTATTGCGACTTTGGGCGTTGAGCCCTGGCTGTGTGAACAGCCGGACGGACATGATGGAGCGAAGCCAACCCACGCTAGCATGGCCATTGCAGACTGAGCGATGGACGATTCATACTTGTCCTGCTTCCTCCTCAATCTCCTGAGCTGCCAGTCCCCATGGCGGCAAAACGCCGAAACAATACACGCTAAAACAAAAAGCAATCACTTCTCTCCACGTCGATGGGAGATACCAACGCTGGGTTTCAGATTGCGCGCACAAATCCTGCACCGTGCAGCGGCACGAATCAAAGCGTCCTCAAGTCAAGTCGAGTCCTCTGTACAGAATGCGGGGTATTAAACATGTTTTTCGAAGGGCTCACCGCCCCGAGTTCTGGGCGCTACCAGGCGCTCTCGGGCGCTACCAGAGCACGGTCGCGTGACATCCCAAAGACAGAATGTGCAAAGACGGCCCAAGAACGTCCTCAGAGGCACCCAAAGCCTCAAGACGGCCCAGGAGGCAAGAAGGCTCCACGGGCCCCCCCAGACGGGCCTAGAGAGGCAAGCGTATAGCCCACCAGCCTTTTAGGGCGTGAGCGGTTCAGGGAAATCATGATTCCAAACCCCCTTCGGGGAGGGGTCGATCACTGGTCCCCACGAGGAAACGCCTCCTCCCCCCAGGCGACCGGCAGCCAACCAGGACAAATGAAGGATTGCAAAAAAACCCTGGATTGCAAAAAAAACCCTTCCACGAAGGGTTTTTTTTGCAATCCTTCGTCCAGGTTTTTTTTTTTTTTTTTTTTTTGCAATCCTGGGTTTTTTTTTGCACCCCCCCCTTCCACCGTCCCTTCTACGAAAACGCTGCACAGTGCACCCTGCTTCCAAATCTGGAGCACGCGCGGCCGCCCCGCGGCCACCGAGGGTTGTGTGCTCGCCGCGCGCAGGCCAGCCATCTTTGCCAAAGCAGCAATTTCGAGTACCTTTTACCTCAATCGAATGGAAGTCGCATGTACATATATATATATATATACATATACATATACATATACATACATATATATACAAATATAATAAAGAGAGAGAGAGAGAGAGAGAGAGAAATGTACTTCCATTCGCGCAGTAGAAACCAGCTGCGACGTATCAGATCTTCGCGTCGACCCCTGGAACCCGAAGGGGTCGCGGATGCGCTCGCTCCCTGCCCGCTCAGACAGCTAGTTAGGTCCGTTTAAGGTCGGGACGGGTGGAAAACAAAGCGCATCGCAATAACTTGGCCCAAAGTGTGATTACGCTTTCTGTGTAGAAATGGTGTTTGCTGCACGCCCATCGACGTGGTGGGCGAGGGGAGGATTTCCTTATCCCGCCGACAGCGGCTGTCGGCCGCTCCTCCTGCACCGTACATGTAGCCTGCTAGGGCACGTAGAAGTTTGTCGCCAAGCGTGCACATAAGGAAAGATGATTCCAGATTGCTGGTGGCTTACCTAAGCTGAGCGATCGCCGATCGGCCACTCATCTTAGGCAGTAGAACGCGCGAGCGCTGGGTGGCGCACAGGATGGGCAGCATGAGCCTGCGGCCCAGTGTTTGGCGTCAGGCTGCGCGGCCAGTGGGCAGGCCACAAAAGAACATGAATGCCCTATGTTGGGTGAGCATGCGGCCGGGTGCCTGGCATCAGGCTGCGTGGCCACCGACCGATCAGACCACGAAGAGGGGCATGGATGCCCGGTGTCGGACGCCTGCTGCCAGGCATGAGAAAAAGTGCGCGAGCGCCCGCGGCCGGGCGCCCGTTGCCAGGCCAAACAGTGCACGGTCCGCAGCCCAGCGAGGGGCAGGCTCAATCCCGCGCGCGTTCTGCATTACTGCGACGTGGCGCAAATGTCTTTGCATCATGCTCGAATGACTGATGCCCCGACATCACTTGCAACAGCAACTTGCGATCAACACTGCCTTGAGTATGTCAGCCTGCTGTCATGCCGCGCGTGTCGCACCTTTAGGCACAATGTGCAATATTCCTCTTCATCATCTGTTTGGTCCAGCGAACGCGCCCGAGCGAGGTGCATTCCGCTGTTTTTGTTCGCGCCCTTGCTAGACGCGGACTAAAATACAGGCTCGGCACCGATGGTGGGAGATACCTACAAGCAAAGGCCGCCCTTGTCCAATCCATTGTCAAGCCCCTCAGGGGACATCGTAGCTCCAATATTGAATTCGTGCAGCGTGATTATGGTCGGGCAGCAATCCTCGAGATCACGCGCCGCAGCCAGCGCTCCCGCTGGGTAGCCTGAACGCACCTGAAGTCGATGCGACTTGCGGCATGCATCCACGAGGTGGATGACGCCGGAGCCATCTCGCGTGCTGCCACGCCCTAGCAAGTCTGCCCCGCGGATGCCGTATCCCTTCTCTTCATCGACAGAGTCCCCCGTCAAGCGGCGGTATCCAATTTCGCAATGGATGCCGCCCGTCCGCGGTTGTCATGGCTGGGTGTTCAGCAACGTGTTAGCAGTCTGGTCACCGCGACCAGCCCCCGAAACTGGACTTTCGGAAGTTTCTGATTTCGCGGCGGCGAAGGTGAGACGACGCACGCCACGACACGCCTGCGTGATGAGGGCCTGCGCCAACGCACCCATCAGACTCATGAGCGCGTCTGTCACCGCCGCGGTAGCTTTCGCGTCGGGCGCTGCCCCCGTCAGCGCGGGACTTGTATTGCCCCCAGCTTGTGCGGCGCACCCATCTCGGCCCAAGGTGGCGCCGCCGTTCGGGAGGTGAGCATCGCACAGCGCAGTTGGTAGACGGTTGCTTGCTGCTTATACTTGCCAAACGTCGTTTCGGCGCGCTGCTTGTCGATGCGGGCTTCCCCCCCGGCCGCGTGCACGTCGTCGACATGTTTGGCCGTGGTCTGGGTCGGGAATTTTCTGGCTTTGAGAATGTGACCTTTGCCATGCCCGCTGTAAAACATACTCCCGCGTAATCTGTGCAACTGGTGACGTACTCGCATAGCTGCATGGGAGTAGCGCGCCATTCCAGGCCCTCCTCGGGCCTGTTGCCAGGAGCGCTGGGCAAGTTACATTGCTCCTCATTGATCGTTAACATTAACGCGAATTCACCAGGGATCGTTTGTCCACAGAGTGTGTAGGAGCTGGGACGCCATGACGTCATGACTTTCCTGGCGTTCTTTGTGCTGTAGTTCTCCTTCGCCTGTGAGCTCTTCATGATAGTCCCCCATGCTGCGTGCATCCAAATACTCCCCCATCGCCGCTTAAATCGTTGGGAGTCGACCTGCATTGAACCCTACCGTTTTTTTTTCTCGGAATCGTTGCACGGTGGTCGGCGTCCTTGATTACTTCCTGTACCACCGTCGGCCAGTTCCTTGGATTTGGCAAGGTCTCCATCAAATCCAGCGAAGAGCCTGGATGACTTAAGACAAAGGATGATATCCTGGATCGGGTACCGCCAGTGATGTCCGGAGTGCTCAAGGCGGTCCAATATGCTTCGCAGTAGTGAAATCCAAGTTTTACGTCGATGCCGCAGTGCATGAGTGCACTACTGTCGGCATGCGCGCATTGCAGTAGCTTGTGCATGTTCTTGGCGAGGCGCGCTGCAGATGAACTCGATCCTGAAGTACTGCCGGACGAGATATTGTTTCCACCGTCGTGCGCAAGCTGCCTCGCAAACCAGGGGCATGCCGACATGTTAGCGCTGAAAACCCAGCGGCGAGACCAGCAATGAATGTGACCACTGCGCGCAGCGCAGCATTGTCCGACCCGGGGTCACGTGCCATAAGAGCCTCAATGTGCAGCGCGTGTCGGATGTCGGGGCATTGCGCGATGATTTCCCAAGTGCAGGCTTGTGCTACTACTTGTCCTCGGTCAGGCATCTGATGTAGCACTGGATGGGCAGGCGTGGAGATGCGGCACTTCAGCTAGCAACGAACTGATTGCACAGCAGACCTGCACACACCGGGGCGTGCCATCGAGAAGCAACCACGCACCCTACGTTCGTTTAGTGCGGACTGGCTCTTCCACGCTGCACAGCGCAATGGTTGTCTCCCACGCTCGCCATCGCCGCTACCCGACATGGCACGCGCGAGTGAAAGCGCAGAAGATAGATGTGATCACATGACTGCTATGCTTGGTCGCGCCCGCAAGTGGACCGTTGCGCGCAGTGTCCGCGGCGCGCGTGCGCGCGCGATGGCTGGCTCCGCAGGAACTGCAGGGCAGCCCGGGGGGCGGGTTGAAATGCGAGCGCGCGAATGCCGAACTAAAAACAAACGTCGCGCGCGTTCATGTGCCAACGAACCGTAACTTCGAGTGCACATTGATTCCGCGTTGATTTGCCAGCTTAGCCGCTGTTGCGGGTGATAGCGAAGCACTGGGCCTTGTGCGTCATGGCGGCGCAAGTCACGCCTCAACCTCGCACATGCAATGCGCGAGACAACGCAGTTCCGCGTGAAGTGCAGTCGGGGCACGGGACGTCCTGATGTAATTCTGCGCGTTTGTTCACGCGCTCACGTGTCGCCCGCTTGCGTGCGCAAGTGTAGTTCAAGTTTAGCCCAGGTGTTGTTCAAGTCCAGTCCAGGTGTGGCCCTCGCGATTCAAGTGTTGTTCGAGTCTAGCTCAGCTGTAATCAAAGTGTCGCCCAGGTGTAGCTCGAGTGTAGTTCAAGTACGGTTCACGTGTAGAGCAGGTGTAGGTAAGTGAAATGTGAGTATGAGGTGTAGTCCCTGTAGGTCGAGTGTAGAACAAATGGTTCAAGTGTAGTTCTAGTATGGTTCAAAAGCAGTCCACGCGTAGTTCGGGTGTGGTTCAA